ATTTCTAGAAAGGCTGGTTGCTGTTCTTTGAAAGTATTTGTTTCTGCGACACTTGTGGGAGACATGGCTGTAATAACTGGTCGAAAAGTGACTTTACTGCTGTTCATATTGTTGCAGATGTCGTACAAAAGTGAAGCAACAGGTGAGAAACAATTTTGTTGTTATATCAACAAAACTGTAACATAGCTAACTGTACAAGGCAAGATATTTTAACCCAGGCTACGTGTTTAGATTTATTCTGCAACAAATGCACATCCAGTACAGAGCTGCAAATTTACGTTCTACACGTTTTGTCAGGGAGCAAGCACACCTTCAAGTTTATTTGCGTCAGCTTCCGTTTTCTGTCTCCCTAGGAAAATCTAAAAGGCATTAGTTCCAAGTTGTTGTTGTTATTTTTCAGGGTCGTGCCACCTGTTCTAATGCTCCTAATAGTATACTCCAATCGTTGAATTACTATGCACATGACACAAGTTACCAGCCGCTTGAACCAGCTACGCAATATATATAATAGTGTTCATCATGGGAAAACGTCGTTTACAAAACATTTCTCACAAAAGAAGTAGCAATCCTAAATTATAATTTCCAATATTAGTTTTCGTAGTGTATTGTATTTATGACATCTATAATTAATAAGGGAATATTCGCAAATTCGCACAGGTCTGTTGGAATCATCATAGATAGATTATATGACTTTCAACATTGAGGCTTTAGCAGAAAAATAATAACTATGACGAAAAAAATGATATCAAACCCCAGTATTTTTTCCACTAGTACTGCTGGCATGGAGTTGTTTGTATTATGTCATATCAATAAACACTTTAATTACCCATCTGTGAACACATTTACATGTATTTGTTTGTGTTTACAATGTGCTTAATTTGTAACAAAGAGTGTTATAATTACTTAAAAATTCTATTTCCAAAAATACTAAATAACTCTAATATTTTGATTGAAGATACGGGGGTTTTATAATATATTATAACTGTTTTCAATTTAAACTGTGCATTTTCAGATTTTTCAATAAAACACATGCTACCCCCGCTCTCCGGCATTCATGGGACTCAGACGGGCGAGGCAGATGATGAAGCTTCCGTTCACAGTCTAAATAATCTTCGCAGGATACCGCTAGTCGTCTTCCTCCTCACAATCACAGGGGCTGTCTCGCGTACCAAGGACAGACTTGAGGGTCCGGAGTAGAGAAGTTTGTATGTAGATACAGTCGGGGAATGAGTCAGTCAACCCAACAATTCAGCCAACACATATATTTATATGTTTGGTGATAAACAGAGACAGGTATACTGTCAATTTAATGCAATAACGTCCATATGAACCTCGCCACATAACACAATGAAGTAAAGCCTACTATTAAGTGGTATACAATATTAACCTAACGGCACCTGGCAATTAAACCAGGTCAATGATCAAAATAAATCAACCCGACAGGCTGACCAAATTAACCCAGTGGCGCCTTAAATTGCATAACATTAACTAGCTAGGAACTTGCCTAATGAGTAACCAAATTAATCTGACAGTGCCTAACACTCAAGCCAAACACAGTAAAATGCCTAACTGCTATACAAATAAAATACCTTAAACAAAGCAATAAATGCCGCCCACACCAGTTCCACGCTATATAAGAAGCATGACGTGTGGATGGATAAAAAGTTAACAACGTCCACAGAGCAATTACTAACTCACTAACTCGGTATAAACACACATGCATATACCAAAAACCGCACACAAACAATGCGGGGTAAATACAATGATCAAAACGCACAACGTCACAATAAAATCAGTAAAATCACCTCACGGCACTAATCACAAAATACGACTATCTAAACAGCTTAACTAATCTACCAAAGAGAGTGCGCCGCTGCCCCAAATACGCCGCCAAACGAGGAAACTCGCCGTGGTTTCTCAAAAGAGTGACCAAAACGAATCTCGCCAAAAAAAAAAGCAGTGGAAACAACACAGTGCAAAGACCTAATACAAAATGCGCAAGTGGTAGAGAACTACCTTTGATAACGACCACAAGCGGCGGTCAAAACGACCCAGGCAACGCACGGGAAAATTAGGAAAATTCAACAGGCGTGCAACGGGGAAAAGACGCAATCTCGGCGGCCACGCACAAAAAAGTACATAAGACAGGAAAAAGTGCTTTCACTGCCCACAAAAGGCCACAATGATGTAAATCAAAAAGTTTTGATGCAATAAAAGTTCACGTGATAATTGTTCAACGTTTGATTGCAGTCAAAGATGCTTCGGGGCCCCTTTCCGAGCAGTAATAGTTCACCTACCAGCTGCGATAAAATTTCGGTCACGGGTTGATCTAGCTGACCAACGAGGCACCGTAACAACAGTGTTTCACGTTCCGCTTCCTACTTCTTTCTCTTTTCTTCCAAGAATTGCAGCTTGCTGCCAATGTGCCCAGTAACGTTAACCGCTCGGCGCCAGGAGAGAGAGAGCCCTTTTCGCTCTCAGCCATGTACACCCCAAAAACAACTACCTCGTTCCGTAATACACAGTAAATTACAACACAAGTAATGCTCATAAAAATGTCATAAAAACTACTTTCCAAATCAACCTCTAAATAATCACATATCCAAGAAAAGAGTATAGCACACAGTAGCACAGGTGCGACAATATCCCCACTGCATTACACTCACAACAAAGGTTCCCGCAAAAGAGGTCGGCTTACAGCCAACAAAAGTCATTGACACCACCAACAGTGAGGGTGGCATGCAACTCTAACCAATTACGTGTATGCACCAGTGCACACATACTATGGGAATACAAGCTGGCGTAACCAGGGGCCGAAATGCAGCGTAACTATGGGTTACACACACAATCAACATACTAGTAATACGTAAAGGGCAACCGACACCAATTATGTTTATAATAACAGAAAATATGTGAGAATGAGATATATTACAATATTTTCAATTTCAGAATACTTAGAAGATAACTGTGGTGAAAGTATTGTGAGCTATGGCGGTCGCCTTGAATCACAGAGATATGCTACTTACCGAAATAATTTTCAGTGTTCTGTAATTCTGGAAGCACCAAGTAGAGAATTCAAATTAATAATCCAGGTAGAACTATTACTGTTGTACGTGTTAATTTACAAGAATTGCCACTTTTTTGCAATTATTAATTGTCACGAATTAATGACGATATACACGCGCACATATAACGATTGCTCAGGACTGACAACAGGGTGGCCTTAGCACACGTACACACAAGCTGTTCTCCGACTGTCCCGTAAAAAAAACACACTCACATTTACATCTTTCAAACCAGATATGATAACAATCTGTATCGTGGTTTCATTAAATGGTAGTTTCTAAGATTTGGCATAACATATCAAAGGCGTTATTGTGGTAGGTTTCGATCTGAAATATGACAACTGCTTGCAATTTCGTGTTGTGACCATCCGACACTTATTTGTTGTTACGATCACATTGGTATGGCAGAGTAGAACTGGTAAAATTGTAAACAAACAATTATGCCAAATTTGGAAAATCCTGTGATACCTTTGATGAGATCATGCACGCGACTAACACAAGTAACTGTCAAACGATCAATTTCCTTTGATGCAATGTAAAGGAAACGACAGATATCATTTTATAGATGCCTACAATGTTTATGAAGTTGGACAGTTACTTTCAGTGATGCTGCACATAGTCATTTATACGAATGTTTGTTTTTAATAGTATGAATACATAGATTTGGAATACTTTGATGATACAACTTGTGTTGACTATATTGAAATTCGTGATGGTGACAGTTATTTATCAAAGTTGTTACTGAGGGCTTGTACAATAGATATAATTGAAGGGTACTATCACGAGTCAACATCGGACAAAGTAATGGTACGAATGGTTACTGATGAAGCCATCACTTCAAGGGGATTTTCGTTAATCTTCACAGCAGTTAAATGTGAGTATTGTTGTGTCTCATTAGTAAACGATACAATGTAAAAGGTTGCTGTTGACCAATTTGTTTTGAGACTCGCAAGCCGCAGCGCGGCGTTGTGGAATTAATATGAACTATCTAAAACACTATTATTTACCTAATTTTACATATTATCTTTATTAGTCTTGATATTTGCAATATGTTCATTTATTCAGATAATAATTCAGAATGCGCCAACCAGGGAATGTTTGATTGTGGTAATAACTATTGTATCATCAATGATCTCACTTGTGATGGTATCGACAACTGTGTGAACAACCATGACGAAATATTTAACAATAGATACTGTCCAGTCGTTGGTCCTGATACTGATAAGCCTGCCCGTGACCGTGGTAAGTCACGATCCAATCATATGCTTATTTACATGCATAAGTTTTGTTATCTGCAACAATTTGTGGTTTCTAACAATCTTCTTTTTGTTTCATTCAAACAGCGGTAAACATAGCAACCGATGCAGTGACCACCGTGCTGATCAGTTTGATGGCAACATATTGGTTTGAGTGGTAACAAGCATTATTTATACACCGCGTGGCAAATAAGTGACCCATAACATTATTAGTAGGATAAAACTAAACTGTGCGTGTGTCGTTGTTATTCTATGATAACTAGTCATTTCCCAATATAATCCAACGTGTGACAAACTAATTTAGTAACTTTTTGAACACAAAAGCCAAAGTTGTTACTGCGTATTCGCTCCCACATGATGCTCATGTATTCTAACTTTTTACTGCATTTTCAATTTACAAAACCTCTAAACAATACAAATATCAGTTGCAACCTTTTGTGACAAACCCATAACTACTAACAATTCATATTAGTTGTAACGTCATGTGCCGTAACCATAGTAACAATCTATATTAGTTTTAGAACTTATTTGATAATTCAACTATAAATGTATATACTGATGAATCAGAAACACAAACATACAGTAAATTTATCAATTTTTTTTTTTTGGCTAATCAGACAAACGCTAGTAAAACCTGGATAAACTCGTCAATTTGACCAATGTTAATGGGGGGGGGGTGTAAAACTACTTTGCGAATTATTCTTTTAAAACATTCTCTCATAGTTTTGTCCCATAGAGAAATAGTAGGCGCGTTACTGCTTATAAATACACATTGTTTTATTTGTTCAGCTTGTCATAGATAATTCGCATTTACTGTAGCGTAGTGTATTAATCTTATACTTGTACATTTGTACTTGACTCTAATCGATGTAAATGATTCCTGAGTTGATATGCTAATAAAGGCCAATGAAGATGGCGGCACTGTGAGTTCAATCTGTGTGTCTTGCCCGCTTTGGATTTCAGCATCTCAGAATTATTAAGGAATAATGTTCCAGCTCATCGCCTGTCCCATATAACCTTGAAGTATCCTATAAGGAAGTGGCCAATGCGTGTATTTATAAGGAAATATATATAGTTTGAACACAAAAAGTCAAGAAACGTCAAAGATATGGCTCCAAAACAGAATTCACTCAAAGTAATTGGCCACCAGTCGGCCATTTTGAGTAAGATCTGACAGAAAACGTGCGTCTTGACGCATTAGGGTTCTATAAAGTTCAAAGTGCATACTAAGTTTGAAAATTCTGCAATAAGGAGCAGTGCCGTACCATGTATTCTCCATTAAAACAGATGGAAGTGCATCTGTTTTAATGTAGTCGATGCGCCATTTAAAAAAAGGGGGGGGGATCATCAAGTCGCTAAATTTGTTTGGATTTTTAAACGTCCATGTAGTAAACACCGTCCGGAAAGGTGACACCGTTTTGAAAGGCGAAGACCCGAAACGCAAACAGCTCTACACAAATCCAGGGGTTTGATTTTGGGAACAATGTTTCATTTTTCCAAACTACCCCACCATATTCTATTTAATTTGTGTTAACTCAAATGCATTTACACAACAGAAAACACGACTTTAGAAAATTTATGGGAAATTTAGTCGGCACAAACAAATGATCAATGAAGGAAATACAAAAGAAACCGTTCACAAACTATAGAGGGAACGTCTCATTTACGGCATTCTATACTATCAGGTAAAACTTGTCTTTGTCTTCACTGAGAAATCATGACCCGGTAACCAGAGATGTTTCAAACACGGTCGATGGTGGTTCAGGCGATATGAACAATAGTTTTAAGATACGGTCCCAACTGTTATAAACTTTAAAACAAATATGATATTTACTAATTTCACTTCATTTATTGCTTTGTTTGTGAAGTTGGAATCAGTATATTTGTATGTGTGTTTTTAATGTTCCTGCTGTTCAAATTAATATCAATGAAGCAAACACCTCGTGTGCACACCATGTGTAGTGTGGTCAAAATGTCATTTTCTGCCTTCCTGACAAGTAAACGATTGACTCTTTCATGATCCAATGTTGTCGATTTCTATTATCCGTATTTGCGAGGGAATATTCAACGTCACTGATTGGTTCGTTGGCTGAGTCGTTCACTTTACTACATTCGAAATTTAATACCTTTATTACCATCTTACGTAAAAGGTATTAAGAACAAAATATTGTTTTTCAACTCATGAAAACCGGGATGCCATTGAAATGAGTGTTTGAAAAATTAAAACAAACTTTGGGTAGTTTGAATGAATATTGTGTTGTACATGATGTACTACAATACAGTTTATTATTAAAGAGTTGGGGAGTAACTGTTCGCGATATCGGAGCCAATGAAGTCCAACTGAGCCGTAATTATTGCTCGTTCTCTCCCCTACTTTTGCACCATTCATCTGCTTAAAATTGTTTAAGGTGAATAATACTGTGACGTGGAATCGTAAGTTTAAAATTTTCTATAAAATTGGGGCATTAGTTTGTGAACAAAAGGCACGCAATTTTTGACAGGAAGGTCGAACGCGTGATTTGTATTTATTATTTTTAGACATTAGGGTATTGTCACAGTTGTATCACTAGACTTACCTACATTGACTTTTTTTATTTTTTGCTTTTTTTTTCAAAATATAAAATAACATGGGAGTGTGTAAATTGCAAAAGCAGATTTACCACCAATGAATAAATTATAATTAAAATCAAAAAAAGCTTAGAAAGAACTCCCGTGTGCTGAAAGTATTGAAGACAAATAAACAAATAATTCAAAATTACTGGAACTTGAGATATTGATGGAAAAGATTATGCAAATAAGATAACTAATCGGAACAGATTTAAGTGTAAAACTGATAAGGTCTGCACAATGTAAAAGTAATAAGATCTGCGTAATGTTATATTTATGTACCGAGTTTCATTGAAATGTGATTAAAACCAAAAAATATTAATTATTATGCTAATTAGAGAATTAATATGAACGGATTTTAACCCAAAATTAATCAGGCTGTGTATTGTCCTAGAGCATTTATGTACCAAATGTTATTCAAATGTGATGATCAGTACTTGAGATACCAGTATTAATTAATTATGTTAAATAGGTGATTAGGAAGCATAAATATTTACCAAAAACTAATATGTTGTATAGTCCTAGGTTCATTGAAATGTGATGATGAGTACTCTTTAAAAGTGTTATTAAAATCCAATGAGTGGTTCTTTAGACATCAGTACAACAGCCATGGAACAGCGAAAACTTAACTAATTATGCAAATTAGGTAATTAATATGCACACTTATTTACCCCAGGATTAATCAGGTCTCTGCATAGTCCTAGAAGATCTATGTCACAAGTCTCATTGAAATGTGATTAGTACTTGCGATATCAGGCGAAAAGCTGAAAATTAACTAATTATGCAAATAAGGTGATTAATATACACAAATATTTACCCAAAAACTCAGCACAGTTCTCAAGTAACTATGTACCAGGTTTCATTGAAATGTTACCATTACTACTTGAAATATCAAAAGCTGATAATTAATTATGCAAATTAGATAATTAATATAATCTGATATTACCCTAAAAGCTATCAGGTATGTGAAGTGTCATATGACATATATGTACCGAGTTTTATTGAAATGTTATGATTAGAACTTGAAATATCAGTGGAAAAGCCGAACATTGATTAATCATTATGCAAATTAGGTAAATAATATAAACAGATTTTTACCTGAAACTAATCAAATCTGCACATTAGTTCAGAGCATTCATGTGCCAAGTTTCATCAAAATCCAATAAGTGATTCTTAAATATCAATGGAACAGTCATGGAACAGCTAATTATTATGCAAATTGGGTAATTATTATTCATGGCTTTTTACCAAAACCTAATCAACTCTGCGCATTATCCCAGAGCATCTATGTACCAAGTTTCATTAGTGGTTCTTGAGATAACGGTGCAACAAAAAAAGTGATAACATACAGACAGGGTAGCTACAAAGACTTCCTTTTGTGCTTCGCACACGGGAGTCAAAAAAAGGCAAGAGAC